TTCATTTCCGTGCTGGACATCCTCTTAGAATGTTGGAACCTTGGCTTTGACAGCACAGCATACTTCACAGTACATCCATCTCCCAGGAAGGACAGGAAGCTTGCAAGGACAGATTTAACGCTTTAAATATAGAGACATGATTTGGAGGGAATTTTACCTTAATCATTGATAACATCTAAGTGACAATCAATTATGCACTAGGTACTGTGCTAAACACTTAGAACTCTCAACAACTCTTTACAGGGTAGGTTTTTTGTCCCCAATTAGGGCTGAAGAGCCCATTCTAGGGTTTCCAGAGGCTGCAGTGGAGGGGACATGGCTGATTCCAGCTCCCCAGCACTCCAGAACACTCTACTCTCAACCACTGTCTCATGCTCCTGCATTTACTTGATGCAGTTACAGGTTGAACTGGTTATGACCAAAGCAGAGATACTAATCATTACTCTCATCCATCGTTCTGCAAATGTGATCAAGAAGCAGATTTGGAAAGCTAGTCGCCTCAGGAATTGGGGACAAAGTGCAGCCACAATGCCTAAGTTATTTCATAGAAAATTACTATAAATAGTTTATTTAACAATTCAAAGGAAAATTGGTCACTTGGAGTAAAATAGGAAAATTCCTATTTTTCACTCCATTCTTTTCATAATACTACAGAAAAGAAGCAAAGTACACCCAGCTTTAAAGAAACAAAAGGAAACAAAGTTCTTAGAGGGGAAAAGGCCTCAGCTAGGAGTAACTCTATCCGGCTACTCATGTCCTGGTTTCAAAGACAGAGTTAGGATTAGGGTTAGGGAAGTACAGTGTGCTGTCTGCTTTTTAAACATTAATCAGTGAATTCTGAAAATTGTATGAACCACCACCTCAGCAGGGAAAACAAAGGCCAGTTTGCCTCACCCAGGATGTGTGAATCAACAGAGAGCCTGTCAGCTCCTTCTCATTGCCACTTGTGTTTCCACTTGGTAGCAAACCTTCCAGAGCAGGTGAATTCGAATAAAGGAAACACGACGATCCAAACCCTGGTCAATGGGTTACAAATGTCCCCATGGTATTACAGGGACTCCTGGGGGGGGGGGCGTGGACTATAGCTATTCCTCATTCTAAGATTACAAGGCATCCAAATACAATGACAAACATTTCAACAGAGGGTGGGGAGAGTATAACGTGACAGTTAAGAAATAAGTAATGCTTATTAGCTCAGTTCCAATCTCAACTATTCACCAGAATAGACAGTGAACAAATTACAACTCTGAATCTCCATGTATTCATTTTTACTTAACGGATAACAGTGTTTCAGAGAAGATAGATTAAATAATAAAAGTTCTGAGAGTCGTGCCTAGGACAGAAGAAACTCCGTGGACGTTATACATGCATTACAAGGAAATACCAAAAAGGAAAAAAAAAAAATAGAATATAATAAATCAGGAGAAAAGAGAAAGATGATTCCTATGATTATTGTGCTTAGAATTGCTGAGTTTTCTAGAATGACTGGCATGTCCACTGCTTCAGATTAATCTTGGCTGCTCTGAAATTTCTGGGCTCCCCAGCTTATTTTTCAGAACTTTAATCGATAGTTCTGAGCCGGGAGTTGTGGGGCAGGCCTGTAATCTCAGCACGTGGGAGGCAGAAACAGGAGGATTGCTGAGTTCCAGGCCAACCTGGCAACATAGTGAGTTCCAGGCACCTAGACTATGTGGTGAGACCCTCTATCAAAATAATAAAACAGTCAACAACTCTCAGGCACAACAAAACTTGCCTGTTTCAATTTCAGTATGTAGCACATATTTTGTCCTCATACTTCCAGCTTAAATAAGACCAAAGGGTTTATTATATTGATAGCAGTTTACTAACAGCACTTAATATAAAGTGTTCTTTTTTCTTGTGAACTATAATCATTAGTAAACAATTTTCTAAAGTATTTCCCTAAACAAGCATGTATATGTATGAACATGTATATATAATATACAATATGTATAGCGTATATATATATTTCGCCCACTGTTTTAGCAGCATGCTTGTGATACTTGTGATAATAATTACTTTTGTTTTGGGGAATTAGTGCATATATAGCATATCTTCACTCTTTTTACTTCTTCTCCTCCTCTCCTGCCTAGTCTCCTGTCATGCCTAATTCCCCATCCCATGTCCATACAATCTCCCCGTTTCCTACCCTCTATCTTTTAAGCTAAAATTATTTATACTTTAAATTTTATATATTTAAATTATATATGTTATAAACTAAGTTATATCCTTTATGTATACTTTACTGTTTTACGTTGGGTTTCTCATATGAAACCACATGGTATTTAACCTGTGTCAGATTTATTCCACTTAGCATCGTGATTTCAAGGCGCATCCATTTTTCCTTAAAATGACTCGAATTTACCATTCTCTATGGCTGATGAGTATTATAGCTATTGTGCATAAATACCAAATTTTACCCATTCATCTGTTCATGGACATACAGGCCACTTCCAAGATGGAGCTGTTATCATGAGCCTGCTGCGATAAACTCGGGTATGCCTGTATCACTGCACTAGTCTTTAACTACTTTGGAAAGACACCCAGCAGAGGTATGGTTGGGTGAAATGGAATTTCTATTTTAGCTTTTTAAGGAAACTCCATTTTTCCAAGTGGTTGTACTACTTTTCATTCCCAACAATGAAGAAGGATTCTTTTCTCACCACAACTCCCAACATTTGCTCTCTGAGTTTTGATGATAGCCATTTTTTCTGGAGTAAGGTGGAATCTCAGTGTTGTTTTGATTTCTCTAGTGGCCACAGATGCTGCACTTCTGCTCATGTATTTATTGGTCATTTGTACTTCTTGTAAGAGGTGTCTTTCATTTCAATTGCTCATTTTCTGCTTGGTTCTTTTGTTTTGGGAGTCTGACCTTGTTGAATTCTTTATATATTCCAGATGTTAGTCCTCTATCAGAGCAGCAGCTAGCAAATTTTTTTCCACTCTGTAAGTTGTCTCTTATCTGTTCAGGATGCAGTCCTTACCTACACCTATGTCTTCCATTGTTTTACCTATTTTACTTCCAGCAGATTCAGTGCTTCTGTTTTTATACCTACATCTTTGATTCATTTTGATTTTTTTTTTTTTTTTTTTTTTTTAGAAATAAAAGGAGGAAAATACTAACAGATCGACAACGTTTTACAAAATAGCAAAGGATCAGTACAGACATCACAGAGTTACAAACAGAGTGGTAGGGAATTAACAATGCTTATTGTATTACATATTGATATCTTCAATGTAGTTTCTCTATCTTCAACTATATTGATATCTTCAATGTAGTTTCTCATGAAAACACATATACACATACAAAGCTAATCAACCAATGCCTCACTGACAGTTTCTTTCAGCAAGGAAATACAGGACAGTAGAACACCTGTGTTAACTATCCTGCATATACATATATACAAACTTTCTCCTTCTTTCCCTTCTCTTTTCCCATATTCCAGTTATCCTTTACCTATGAGTGCTTTCCTATCAATTCCCAATGTCTATCATATCTCCTAGTTTAAATTAACTCTTTCAGGCTTTACACTAGAGAAACAATGCGGTGCTTGCACATGTATGTTTGATTTATTTCGCTTATGAGTATGGTCTCTAGTTGTGACCATTTGCCTATAAAAGCCTAGAGTTTATCTTTCTTTACAGCTGAGTAATATTCCATTATATAAAAGTACCACAATTTTCTTATCCAATCCTCAGTGGATGGACATTTGGGTTGCTAGTACAGGGTGAGAAACATGTGTCTAGATTCTTTCTTTTACATGTGGATAACTAGTTTTCGCAGCACCATTTTTTAAAAAGGGCTATCTTTTCTCCAGCATTTAGTTTTAGAACTTTTATCGAAGTTCAGATGGATGAAGGTACATGGGATTTTTTTTCTGTGCTTCTGTTGGTTTCATAGATACAATTTTTACTTCTTTCAAGCATTGGGGACACTGCTAAAAACCAGTGGTATAGGCTGAGTATCTATTATCCCAAATGGTTTGAACAAGAATGTTTTACATTTTGCAATTTTTTTGAAATTTGCAATATTTGCCTCGTCTTTACCTATGGAGTATGCTGAATCTTGATACTGAAATATTTTGAATGCCTATGCTCAAAAGTTTCAGATTTCAAAGCATTTTGGGTGATATTTCAAAAGTTGAGGCTTTCAGAGAATTTTGGATTTCAGATTTTCCAATTACAGATGCGAGAGCTGTACTTGGGCTGATTTTGGTTTAAGTACTAAATTTAAAACTATGTATTAGAAGAGGATATTTAACAGATACAACTGGATAGAAGGAATAACTTCTAAAGTTCAGTAGCACTTTAGGGAAACAATGGTTGGCAAAAATTAACCATATGTTTCAAAATAAACTGGTAGAAAGGTTTTTGAACATTCTCAGAACACTAAAGTGTTTGATATGGCAAATACCTTGATCTAATCATCACACATTGTATCATGTATGGAAATGTCACATTATACCTCATACATTTGTACAATTATATGCCAATTAAAATACATGTACAAAGTAAAACTACATGTTAGTTAAGAGTTATACAGTGGAATGCTCTGCAGAGCTTCCTCCTATATTTTCAGGTTTGTTCTGCATATTTCGGGTCAGCTAGCGTTTACCCCAGACCTACATGATAACAACTGTACTTCTTCCTTCTTCGTCCCACGGCCTTTCGGAAGCTGACAGGTGAAAATTAAAATTTTACTTATAAATCATTTAGAAAGTAATTACTATCACTCAAAATTGTCTATGGAAATTACAAAATTATATACATCTACATACATATATCCTTCACTAGTATATAGGCTACTGACAAGATAAAAATTTGAAAAATAAAGGTTTGTATTGACAAGAGCTAAATTTCATGTCAAAATTCTTTTAAAAAAGAAAAAGCAAACAGAACACAATGCCTTCTCTTAATTCCATAATCAATATTCATAAAACTGGTAGAACTTGGAAGCAGCAATGAATAGTCAATTTTCAGTTTCTAAAAAAGTTTTTATTTTATTAAATAATTATTAAATATAATTTTTATAGATAAAATTGCATAGAAAAGGGTAAAAATGTTTATACTGCCAGAACTTTCTGTGCCTTATCCCACCATCTCCTGTCAGCTGTTATTACTGCAAGAGAGCTGCCACAAATGGACAGAGATGAGATGTTACCAATTCCATTTCTTTCAGTGTGTCCAGTTCTATTTCTTACAGGGAAGGGAGCACATCAGTGCTCTGCAGACAGATCTTCAGGTAGTAGTGACCACACAAAGCAGCCTCATGTTCAGTTTTATGGGCTGGCTGTCAGCTTTGGGGTGGAGCACCTCATGGCACTCAGGAAGAGCTGAGCTGCTGCACGAGGTTCTCAAGACATTTCAGGTAGTATGAATTTAAAGAGTGTTCTTCTGAGTTTGAGATAGCTAGATAGAAAGAGTATAGAAAAAGTAGTTTATTAAACTTAAGTTCTACACTGAATGGTAGGTACTTTTAGAGAAACATGAATAAGATTTATACATAAGTTTCTACTTAAGTTTTTAATATATGAGAATTATAAGAATAGTTTACATTTGAAATACTTAGAAATTACATAATTTATATTTATTTTTTATTATTACTTAGCCAAAGGGAATTAAAAATATACTGTCTTAATAGACATTAAGTATACTCCCAAAGGTAAACCATTACTTTTTTTAAATGTATGGCCCTTCCTAAAGCACAAACTGTCATGTAACCCAATTATTTAATTCCTCCAGAAATTCATGGTTGTACTTGAAAATAAACCAAAACCTCTCTTCTATTTAAAAAAAAATCAGAAACACAGATTAACAACCCACAGATCACTTATACTACAGGAAAGGCACAGTTCAGTTATTTTGAAATAAAAAAATGTTCACAGGGTAATGGTCATTGAGAACAGGTGTCACTTAAAATAAGTACCCTAACCTGCATTGAAGAGAAACCCTCTCAAATCATGCAGATCACAGAGGAACGTGAACACAGGGGTGGTAAGATCTATTCTTGGAAGACGCATTCAACTCCCTCATGTTAAATCAAAGTTGTTTGTTCAAGGTCAATTCTAATTGGGCCCTACGTTTATCACCTACGAACACACATTAGCAGTGGCAGCCATTGGCAAAGAAACTTTGTTGGAAGAAAAAAGTGACTTAGAGAAGGAACACGGATACATTTAAAGAAACTATTATATATGAAACCTTCTATAAGAACATTTTATTATTTTAAAATATTATAATGAAAAGCATAAACCAAATACTGGCACTTCTTACAGTACTTTGACAAAAATACTCTTTAAAAGTAAAACAGTGTAAAAAATTATTTTGTCATGGTCTGTTCAAGTATTTTAGTAACAAGAGTGCTCTTAGTAGTTTCCAAATTTAACTGTACCCTCATTAAAAATAAAACTTACTTTTCTTTGCTAAGCAATATGCTTCATCCACTCTTCTTTTTATTGATGGATTTTTCAAAGTTGTTTTTGCCTACAGACAAATAGAAAATCCATTAATTAGATTTACTTCTATATGTTAAGGATCGGGATAACACAATATAGTGGTACCTCAGTTCACGAATTTAATTTGTTCCACGATTCTGGAAAACATGGCCACATCTGCATTTGTATGGGAAAGATTCTGTGTGACACAGAGTTTGTAAACAAAAAATAAAACTTTGCCAAAAACTTCTGTTTGCAGATCAAATTGTTTGCAAACAAAAGTGCTTGTGAACCGACTATTAACTACATGGGCAGTGCTAACCAAATACCTAAGGAAATATATCTTGAATTATGAAACTAAAGTTGACCAGTTTAAAATTTATATAAATTTTAAACTTTAGTTTCAATTTTATATAAATTTTAAACTTTAGTTTCAATATTTCATATTCCTTCAATTGTATTTCTGATGAAGTATTTCAAACATTACGGGTCAGTTGTAGGTCAACAAATATTTATTGAGTAACTACAAAATGTTATCTCTTGTGCTTGGCCCAGGAAACATCCAGGCGAGGACCGGGCAGCTTCTGACCCTCTGTGCACGAGTCTGGCCAGTAGGGAAGCCTGGCCGAAGAAACACCAGTCTAGGATGCTGTGTGTCCTAACACTGCCGTCTGTTTACTACTTCACCACTAGGTATGCATGGGTGTTTCTCTCAGGAGTGAGATGTCTGTACCCCTACTCCCACCAAAAAACACAAAAAACAGAGGCCAGAGATGGGGGAGCTGTCAGACAGAGATAGAGAGAGAGACACAGGAGAGAGGAGAGAAGCTGCCATTCTCTCTGGGCAGGTCCTTTGCTGTAGTCTTCAAGAACTGAGCAAATTTCAAATTCAGTGATGATACATATCAGAGAAAAGTCAATGATGTAACTGGAAAAAACTTGCGTTTTTAGTTTTATGTCAAGATGCATTTTCCCTGATCACCTTTTAGAAGAAATAATCTACACTAAAACTGGAAGAAGAGGCAAATTATCTTAAATTTAACAGGGAAACTCATAAAACATATTCTTCTGAAATGTGACATCCTGATGAAACAATGAAATGAAAAAATTTCTCCACTGATAGATTACTAGTTGGATGAATGAACAAAAGGAACAGGAGTCTCTGGTTTCACTTTTCTTTCTTTTGATGCTGCTCTGAAATCCTTGAATGGAGCCTAAGAGACCTAGTCCAGTTGTTTCCCTGCCCACCCCAGGTATAACAATGATTCAAAAACTAACCTTCTGATAATTGTAAACGAGAGCCCAAAGTGCAGCTGCTCCAATCTTCTGGGCATTTTGATTCTCACTTTCCAGACAGGCAGCTAGTGTAGTAATGACCTTTTCTAGAAACGTACACATTAAAGAAAAAGCTCAGTTCCACACATTATATTTCTTTACCTCAGTCTGGCTAGATATCCCCATTTCCCTATTAGAATACATATACAAAGCTGTATCATTAAACTGGCACAGTCTTTTATAATTTGTGGTATGTGGCAGGATCAGCTCAAAACAAATTATTTTTACGGCAAGTATAGAATGTATAGATCGGAGATATCAAGGTGACCTAAGCTTTTCGGCGCAAGTTCAATAAAAGCACATTCAAAGATAATAGTAGTACAAATGTAAGTATATAAATGGGTTATATTAATGAGTTACTCAATTGTAGCTCATATTCTAGAATACAGGAAATTATATCTGCTCTCATGAAAAAAACACAAAGACCATTATGTAACATATCCCATAAGATGGTCTACTGTATATAACAATAATCAAGACATACTACATTGGTTAATTCTTTCAAAAAAGAACTAAATATTTTAGAGGAATTTTGGATGTCAGAGGAAAACTTATTTAATGTCTTTTCTACAAAGGTAGCCAGAGTAGAAATCAAGAATCACTAATTATCTGCACCAATCTACTCATTTTAAGTGAAAATTTAGAAAAGCCTACTTCCAAGCTAATTGTCAGTGTGTTTCAGAACAATATTTGTTTTTTATTATCATTTTAAAAATAAAAGGAGGAAAACATTAACAGACAGACAACATTTTACAAAATAGCAAAAGAACAGTACAGACAATACAGAGTTACAAACAAAGTGGTAGGGAATTAACAATGCTTGTTGTATTACATATTGATATCTTCAAAGTGGCTTCTCATGAAAACAGATATAGACATGCAATACTGATCAACCAAGGACTCATTGACAGTTTCTTTCAGCAAAGAAATAGAAGACAGTAGAACAACCATGTTAACTATCCTGTATATACATATTTGAACTTACTAGTTTTTGTATTGTTGTCATGATTCACCTTGATGGTTAACTTGATTAGCTGAACTCCCATTTAAACATCAATATCAGAATATATAATAGTAAAATGTAGTTAAATAATTATGAAGTAATTAAAAGTAAGTAAAATGTAATTAAAATAATTATGATATTTAAATATCTTTACCTTCTTAATTTAACTGATTCAATAATTACACGTTTAGAGATTCATGTTGGTAATGTGAAATCAGCAATAATGAGATATTCACGCCACAAAAATCAACAAATGCTATAAATCAAGGTTGATTCAGTGGTAAAGCTGAAAGGGGTTTCAGTTTTATGAATGCATTTTGCACAGGGGTGAAAAATAGTTATAAATAGTCTATTACTATTGGATTAAAGGATGATAAACTTATTGGGAAAAGAGATTAGGGATACAGTTCTGTCTGTCAAATGAGAACCATAAATTGACTACGGATACAAAAGTTCCAGAAAAATCAATGGTAGTATTTTGTGAGAAACTGGCCATATAGTTTTCATTTATTTATTTATTTATTTATTTATTTATTTAGTCTTTTTGAGACAGGGTCTCGCTATGTAGTTCAAGTTGGCTTTGAGCTCACTTTGTAGCCCAGGCTGGTCTCGAACTTGCAACCATCCTCCTGCCTCAGCATTCTGAGTGCTGAGATCCAAACAGAATTTATGAGTATTATTTCACACTAGTAATATATACAGAGTCCACCAATAAATGTATACATGGTTTAGGAAAAAAAAGAACAGTATGATAATTTTTCAACAGATGGTGTTACACTTAAATGGGAGACCCCAGAGGATATCATATATCAAAGAAAACTCACTACACTGCTGGCCTTTGAGAAGAAATCGAAAATGCATTGCAGCAATCTCAATGACCATGGTTACCCAAGCAGCAGTTCTCTATACTAATAAATATCTGGAAGTTAATGGGCACCACTTTGAGCACCTCTTATAATTGTAGAGGCCAAAGGTAACTTGTATTAATCTTATTATGTCTCAATAAATTTGGTATTAAAATATTTATACAAGTTTTTCTGAAGTGTTTATATATTTTTGGCAGACTCTGTATTTATATATATATATACATATATACATATATATATATTTATATATATAAATGAAATTTCTATATATTCCACTCTTTTCACTCTCCAAGAGCTAGTAGCTAAATTTACCAAAATACTCTGTCCTTGTTAGGTCTTGCTTAACAAAGTTATGCAACCTTCATGAAATGATCAGCTATCTCATCTTTCTCTGCTCTCTGGAACAGTCTGTATTTGTTTGGAACTACTTTTTGATTCAATGTTTGGCAGAACTCACTGGTGAAGCCATCTGGACTGGTTAGGCTTCTGACTAATTTACCATCTTTCATAGTTACTGGACTTTTTAATTTTCTTTTTCTAATTCAATACAATTTTCTAATTTACTTTGTCCCGACAAATGTCCATTTCATCTTGTTTTCTTTGGTTTTCTACAATGATTTACTACAATGTATGTAGGAAGGAATTATTACATTGATCTATTTGGAATTATCTGGGTCTTTTCAATCTTTGTATTTGTCTTAGAATAGTTTGTAGAAATTGTAGTCATCATCTCTTTTAAATATTTCCTCTTCTGTTCTCTTTCAGGACTTCATTAAAATACATATTTCTTGATATATTTGCTAAAGCATGTATCTTTTATTCTTTTAATAATTTCTCATCTTTTTTGCTTCCTTTGCTGCATTATAGGTAATACTTTTCTGCTCTATCTTCCATTTCCTAACTTTTCTACTCTGCTATATTTAACCTGATATTATCAATACCAGGCATACATTAATTTTAAAATTTTGACTATTAAAGGTCTTAGGATTATGCTATCTGACAGAACCTCCTACAATGACAGAAACATTTATAATAGTCAATGAAGGGGCTGGAGATTTAGCTCAGTGGCAAAAGCGCCTGCCTGGCAAGCGCAAGGTCGTGAGTTCGGTTCCCAGTACCGGAGAAAAACCAAAAAAAAAAAAAAAAAAAAAAAAAAAATAGTCAATGAAGTCTAAGATAGTAACTAGCCACATGTAGCTAGTGTGATTGACAACCTGAATATTTAATTTTAATTAATTTAAATTTAAGTAGTTATATGTGGCTGATTACCACATTGTTCAGTGAAGGTCTAGAACTTCTAGTTTCAAATCTTTCAATTTTTCAGTATCCCAGTCTCTAAAAATATTTCCAACCTTGTCATTTATTTACCTACATATGATATAAGTAAAGTATTTTTAAGTCTATGCTTTATGATCCTAATATTTGAGTCTGGACAGAGAAGTTGATATTTTTTTTCCAGCTTGTCCTGTGTTGCCAAGTTTCCTAATGTACCCGACTACATTTCAGCTTTACTGGCTAATGCTTTGACACTTTCCTGCCAGCTTGAACCACCAATGATATGTGCATGACTGTCCCATCAGGTGGCCTGTACCACTGGTGATAGAATTGGTACAGTCATGCACAGTCAGCTATGTATGGCCAGCGGTTCAAGCCACCTGGCAGTGAGACATATGAATTATAGCCCCATTGTGAATGTGTTAAAAAATTATTTGTGGTAGGTTCCCTGAGGTTTAGTATGAATTTGTTCTTTATCCATCAGAGAAGCATTTTGCTTTTGTTTTTTTTGTTTTTTTGGTTTTTCTCTGGTACCGGGAACCGAACTCACGACCTTGCGCTTGCCAGGCAGGCGCTTTTGCCGCTGAGCTAAATCCCCAGCCCCAGCATTTTGCTTTTGCTAAACACTCAAGGGCACTCTCAATCAAGAATCACCTTAAATCAAGTTCCTAGCTCAGTAACATCATGCATCCCTGGGAATGGCAGCCTGTGGTACCTTTTCTTTATAGTCATCTGGACCGGGGCTTAAGGATTAATTCTGATTCACCCTTCTCCTAACAGAATGCTTCTTTGGAGTTCCAGCTTCAAACGGGCAGGATGGCCAGTAAGAGCCCCTACCTTGGAAGGTCTTGATCTGTTAACCCATTCCTTGCCACCTCTGAACAAAAGCTAAACATACATTATTGGCAAATATCCTTAGACAAAGAACTTTCTATATACTTCTTACCTGTCTGGGCCACAGGCTTTCAATTAAAATTGGCTTGGAAGTTTCCCACTGTCTTCAGTTCTTTGTTTTGAAGTGAAATTTAACATACCTAATTCAGCATGTTTTTACTGTTTTTAGAGACGTAGCCTGACATTACCAGAAAAAGGAGTTCTGTGGATCTATTTTTAATAGTAAGGTCCAGTCCCAACACACACTCCTAAGCATCAACGCCTGGGTGCTGCTCATCAGGATCATAAAGGTTTCCTGGTGGATTTCTAACTTAGCTAGCTCTGCTAAGCCCTCCTCTCTAGATGCCCAGGGAGAGGGCGGCAAAGCCTGTGGCATCCCGGACAGTTCTCCACTCAATGGGCAAAGCTCCTCAGCAAAGCTGGATCTTTCTCCGTCAGGCTAATGACAGAGAGAGAACATTGCTGCCTACAAGAAAATGCTACAAATAAATCCAAAGGAATCTAGAAATGAAAAAAACAGACTTCTCTTATAGTTCCCTAAAAGATTTTCCTTTGCTCTACTCTCTCAATAATAAAATTGTATTAAGTGGTCCCTAAAGAAAAGAAATTTATTCTGAGAAAGTAAGGAAATAATGAGAGATACTACTGAGTAGCTTCATAGTATGAGGAACCACAACAGATGTTTCCCATACCATTTCACTGCCTGGCAGTGAGAGAGGGTGGAAATAAAACCACTGATGTACATCCCACAGTGGTAGAGCGTTAGTGGAGGGGGAATGCAGAGTACAAGTCCATGCTTAACTCATGCAAGTTAAATGCTGACTGAACTTTACAACTTTTTCTATAAATTATTTCTAGCAATTCAATAAGTATCAGAAAAATAGAATCATTACTGTACACATAACAATATAAGCAGAGTCAATTAATTCACTTGGAAAATTCTGTGTTTCATAAAAAACAAGACTTAGAAAAGATTAAGTGAAAAACATAATACAGAGCTTCCCAATTCTCTTTTTGCTTCAAATTTTTTCTGACAATTCACTAATCTTTGGCCCCATCTACCCTGCATCTCAGAGAATGAGGTCCATAAGGCTAATTTTACCACTGGGCCTGGGGCGGGAACATTCCTCCCTCTAGGGATCTGTCCCAGTCGCAAGTGCAGTGCTCACTGGTGACAGGGACAAGCCTAGGTGTAGATTAATCCAGTAGACAAAAGCCTCTCAGTTCCCTGAGAGCTTATGTTCCAGTGTGAGAATCTTAGAATAAACACATACACATAAAACCTATAGTGCATCAGATGGAGATGGAGCCATGAAGAGAAATAAAACAAGGAAAGGGTTAAGTGAGAGAGGGGATCGGAGGCAGAGAAGGACGCAAGTGGAGTTTACAATTTAACTGGTTGTTCTAGAAAGTCTTCACTGATGCATTAGCATTTGCTCAAAGACAGAGTGGAGATGACGGGGAGTTAGAGCAACAGCAAGCAAAGATGGGAGGAAAGCAGAAGGCAAAGTCAGAGTGCTCGTGCCCACGGTTCCTCCCCCCTGGCTAACACCATGAGACTCCAGGAATCTCATGGAAGACTGAAGCCCTGCCTGACTCTTTCCCACAGTCCCTACCACCCATACAGCACCTTTAACACAGGGTGCACATGATAGATACTGTGAAATTCTCCAAGTATTTTGTGTTTTAACCTGAATGGAACAGTCTACGAATGACCATATTTATAAAAGTGTGTGTGGTATGTACTGCGCATACTTACCATTAGCCAGGATTTTGGGCTTATTAGCAGGACTGAAGCATATGTTATGAAAAATAAGAAGAGGTATGTGAGGGCTGCTCTTGTGCTTGTACTTGCTTATCTCTGTCAGTAAGTCTAAGCAGCCATCGAGCCTCAGGATCATGTGCTGCCCGTCTTCTCCAAATGACAAATTCAGGAGGAACTTCAACCAAAGAATGGTCAGATTACTGAGGTGTTTGTTTCCTCCTTTTGGCAATGACAGAGTCAGAAAATTCTGTAAGAAGTTACTCTGTGGATAAAGGGAGAGAGAATAGTGTTTTTCTTCTTGGGTCTTTTTCATTATTTTCCAAGTCCTCTGGTGATCAGTTAACTAGCAATTGAGGCTCTTTTTCCCAATTTTAATTTCTCTCTCTCCAATACCTTCTAAGTGCTTCAGATATATTAGTTCAAGGTGTAAGTGACAATGTAAGAAGAACAAAATAGTATTCAGATTTTAATTTCTGCTAATTTTCTCCCTAAAGATGGATGAAGTAAACAAATGATAGTCAACTCAGTTATTTAGCGTAAATAATTTAGGTTAGGGATTAACATGTTAGGCCTGTTGTGTTTTCTTTTTTTGTATACTTTCTGACGATTTTGCTACTCAGTAAAAGATATGTTATGGGGGGAAAACCCAAAATAGTCTTGGATACTGGTTAACAACTCTGGTAGCAGTGAGGGCATTTTTATCATTATATCTACAAGTGCTTTCTTTTTTTTTTTTAAATCTATGGGTCATTTTTGTATTTGTCGTTATAGTTAATTTCTCACGACTACCTATTATTCCATTAAACTTAGAGATGAGGAAGTGCTATTACTCAAATGTAAGCATTTTCAACTTTCAAGTAAAATCTCTGCCACAGATAAATTACTGTATAGAATAATCTATATGCAAAAAAAATATAAAAGTACTGTATCAAGTACAAGTCCTTAATCACAGTAGGGAAATCACAGACAGTTGGTATTTTAGAAATAATATGCAATCACTTAACTTTTATAACTACAGAATAACTCCTCCCCCGCTCTGTTTAATAATGTATTCTAGCTTTCTTCTTGGGCTCTTCTGGTTCTAAATCAGCATGTGGGCTTTAATCTATCAAATTAATTATAATACTTTTACATAAAAAGTTCCTGAGTATAAAAAGGAAATAGGACTGGGCCTGGTGCTGCAGGACTGTAATCCCAGCAGTCAAGAGGCTGAGGCAGGAGGACCATGAGTTAGAGCCCAGGTTGAGCAACTTAGTAAGACCTGAGTGAGCCCAGCCTAAAAAATAGGCTGGGGATGTAGTTTATGGCAAAGGCCCTAGGTTTAATCCTTAGTAACTTAAAGAAAAAAAGAATAAGGATGAAATGAGCTAGAGCATCAATAACAATATTAAGCAACAAATAAATGTGTAAACTATCTGTCCACTTTGAATGGCACCTGCTGTCATCCAAACCTACTTATTATCTCTCAGTCCGAACTGAGGCTTTTTAGATGCATACATTGCCTTTCTCATAGATGCTACCATGATATTGGAGATTTGGGGGTGACAAAGGTAATAAAATATCTATCAGTGCTTTAAGATGCAAACATGCTGAGAATTGCTCCTTTTCACTGGGCCTAACGATATTTTTAAGTGGTTTGACAGACCAGCTAGAATGTGTAGAAATGTACCACGGGAGACAGAAGAGACACTTTGGCACCTAGGTTGTATGACAGCACTAGCAGCACTTGCTAATATCTACTGATAAATATGGAGAGGTGCAAATTTAAGTGTTGGGGCTTGTTATTACTTAATGCATCAGAGGAAGTCTCAGGAGTTTCCTAATTAGAGCACAGAAAATGATTAGATTGATCTACTCTGCAAACACTGGTATCAAAATATTCTTAAGTACAGTAACAGACTCATAAACTCAGTATTGAAGATATCTTAGAGATCATTTCACCTAATTATAAAAATGAAAAGAAAAAAACAAAATGAAAACACTAAAGCTTAAAAGGAATCAGTCCCCAGCTCAAAGTTGCATACTGGACTTGAGATTAGCACTGATACTCCATCTGGCAGTTCCTACTTTGCTTCCTACCAATACACTGTAGATCAAAGGGGTGGCAAGCACTGACTCCAGATCTGTGCTCTCACACACGTGCGCCTCTCATTTTGAAGGGTGGTGATCACATACACCCAGTCCAAGGTGACTTCGCCTTTTGAAAGTCGTATGTATACACGAGAGCATATAAGAAAAAATACTTAAATATACGCACATAAGACATATACAGGACATTATGTATGTACATGTGTTTATATATGCATGTATTAAGGGCATACTAGAAAACATAAATATGAAGAAGCTATCCAGCTGTTTGCTGGTAATAACCAGCTGTTTGCTGGTAAATAAATGATGGATTCCTCTGAGGGGAAGAGGGATCTATAATTTGTAATATTTGCCGAACTACATGGTGCAACACTCCCACAATGGTTGACTTCAAGATAACACAATGTCACTTGCGCTGCAGAACTTCTGAAAATTTAACAATGATACTCGTGAGTCAATGGAAGTTGGCTCTAGTACACCACTGAGAATATTTTCTACCCTAAGGTTGATCATTCATTTCCTTTATAAGACTCATATTTTTACCTATTTGGTGATTCTGTTCAAACTACCTTTTGGGGGGCTCATAGAAATGGAACAATAGAGGAAAAAGAGAACTAATTGTTAGGAATGCAGACAACTTTTGTAATTGATCTTGGCATTCAAGCAAAAGAAACAGAAGCATTCAAATTATTGTTACTAATAAGAAATGGACAGTCTGATCATACTCAAAGTTTAAGGGATTTTCCCAATTAAGGATTCTATTGACATACATCTAAATATAGACTAATTGCATATGTATATTAAAATATATTTAACTTATTCTTTCCCTTTTAAAGTACTCTAAATTCAAATCAGTAATAAGGAACCAAGTTTTGTAATAGGAGTCCTAGAGAATTCATAAAATTGCCTATTATATCACAAAAAAGCTAATGTCTAGCTGGGGCAAAAGGGACTGCAATTTCATAAACCATTCTGTCAATGTAAACTGAACTGAAACAGTTACTGCTCAATTTTTGTTTAAAAATCAAATACATTACTTTTATAATCTCAAATAAATGCAAACAGCTATCTATCTAAAACTGCCACTTTTGAGAGATAAAACACAATCCTAAAGTTAATAAACACAACCTAAAAGGAAATGGCATGATCATAGCCTAGGTTCTGTTGCTTTTCAGTATCACCTGTCAACGAGCTTTACATAGTGAACTTCTTACAATCATTTAAAATAAAATGGGTTGAGATCATAATAAATTTATCCCAGAAATTAAATTCTAAATTTTGATTAGATTTACTTTACTAAGTATCTCTTTTATGTTATGCAGGAGAGTTTAAGTACTTACCTTTTGAATTACTCCTTTACAGTCATGGGACAAGGCCAGGTTTGAAAGAAACATAAAAACCATCTGCTGTAGAGCAGCGTTTTCAAGCGGCATCTGAGAAGCCAGCTTTAGGATACACAGCATCAGAGAGTTGCTGGGGACTCCTCTGTGTGCAGTGTGAACAGGATGTTGTCCATAACTTGACCAACAAATAGAACTGCAACCTTCAAAAACAACAGTCTATCACCATGTCATCTCAGTTCCACTGTTTCATTTTTAAAAACACTACATGGTAAAGCATATCCGTGTATCAGAATGACTTGGCCATTAACGTGAACTACAAATTAGCACTGAAGGCTAATGCTGATGTCTACCACATTCAGTGTAATAGATTTACTGTCCTCACTGAGCACCTAATTACCTCAATAGAGCATTTCAAATACTAGGTTTATTTTTTAAATAATAAATCACATGTAATAGCTTTTCAAAATAGTTTGTAAAGAAGACATCTCAAATAAAAGCCTCCACGGAAGAAAATAATTTTAGAAATGGGACATAACCTGGTCTAATGCCTTTGTTTCATAGAAGAGATGAATGAAGAACATAATACACCTCAAGTGGGAACAGGACAAATACTATTTCCCATAGTAGACAGGTAAACAAAAGGAGCTTAGAAAAGCCAGTGGGCTGCTCAAGTCACAGAGCTTACAGGTAGCATGAGCGAACAGGTGTATCTCCTGGCTTTCCAGGGTGATGAGTTTTCTCCTGAATGTTGTTCAAAGAAGACGCTTGCTGACCAGTCACACCTCCCATTTCTGACTATAAATTGTACATGGGCAGGTAACCTGACCAAAAATTTGTTTTCACTTCCCTAGTGAGTTCGCTTTCCCTCTTCTACAATAGGTATTTTCCACACCTCCTCCCTTCTCAGAAGCATCTACCCCATGGCTTTGCTCACTCTCACCAACAATGAAGAAAGCAGAGTTTCAGAAGGAAATTTCTTATCTTTCTCATCAAATCTACCACCCCTACCAATCTATGTTCCTGATTGCAGCCATCCCTTTCTTTTCTTTCTCAGCGCATGCTCCAGCTTTTCCCCACTCTGTATTTGTTCCTGACTTCTCTTCTCAAAGCACATGCCCTAAAGCCATCCAAAACAAATGACATTTCCTCATTTGACCCTACATCCATCTCTTGCTCCATTTCCCTGTCCCCTTAATAAGATAATACAATAGAAAAAGTGTCTCTTCTATGTCTTCACTTCCTTTCCTCAGCCCATAGGATTCTGACCCCAGGATGCTACTAAAATTGCTCTTCAGAACAAGAATATTAACTTGGGTATACCAAACAGTCATTGTTTCCATTCTCATTTTCTTTGAATTTTACACAGCATTTGACCCACCCAAGCAAGTCTTCTCTGGTCTCTGGCTGCACTCTTACCTCATGGACTATTCCTTCCCTATCTTTTGCTTCTCCTTGTCCTTTGACCAATTCCAGATGAAGGTATGCCCAGAGCACAGATACTGCATTCCTCTAGCTAAACATTTTCCTAGGGCAACTGAAAACAACCCTGTGGCCTTAAATACAATCTACAAGACAGTGATTCCTGAGGCTCCTACTTCTGTTCATTCCTCAGTGTCAAGAGTTGGACTGGGTTACCATAGAAGAGACTATGTTACCAGTAGAGAGGTCACTTACTGGGTCACTGGGTTACAAAACACTCTACTTATGCCCTGGGCCCCTTCACCTAGTCATCTGCTGTTATAGAGAGGCTTACATGGGTAGGAACTGAGGCTGCCAACAGCTGCACTGGGTTTTCCTCCCCAGTCAGATTCAGGAAACTGACGCCCAGTGACAGTAGCCTGTAAGGGACTGTGCTAGAATCACCAACATAACCCCCTCCAAGATTCCTGACTTACAGAAAGTAGGAGATTCCTGACTTATAGAAACTAAGAGATTCCTGACTTATAGAAACTATGAGATAATTACAATGAATTTTACATAATTACATGAATGTTCATGGGTATTAAGCTTTATGGTAATTTGTTATGCAAAAATAGGTTAACTCCCATCATTTTTTATCTTCAATTTTGCATCTCCACTGAATCAATCCAACCTAATATCTTCATTTGGATGAACACAGACACCTCAAACATAACATGACCAAACAGAATTCTTGCTTTCTACTTCCTCCTCCAAATAAAATCTGCTTCTCAGGCTCATTTCTACAAATGAGGTTCATCCTGGATACCTTTCTTTCCTTCCTACCTCTAATCAGTACGTTCTCCAGACTCCTCTTTTGGGCCATTTACCAAATCTTTCCATTTTTTTCAATCTCTTCATCTACCACTTGAACCCAGGCCTCCTCAGTTTGTCTTCAAACTGGTCTCTCTGCTTCTAGGGCCATCACTTCTTCACACGCCACTTAAAGTGATATTTTTCAGACACAAATTAGATCATGCTACTCCCCAGTTTAAACCCTTTGATGGCACACCCTCTCGCATTGAAATAAAAGTCCAAACTCCTTATTCTGGCCTCTGAGGCTTTGCTGATCTGTCCTAATTTCCATCACTCTCATCAGAACTCACAATGTATGGCACACAGTAGGCTCTCAATAATCTGTCAAGTGAATGAATAAAGCAGAAGCACCAGAGATACCAACAATTACAAGGGTGACTATACCTTTAACTAATTTTCGTCATGCCAGTCTCCTGTTCTAGAATCCCCGAAAGTTTTTATCTTCACCTAGCTTTCAATGTCTCACACCATAATTTTTACCCTTTCCATTTTCCTTTTGTTTTCCACCTTCTTAGTTCCCTGATCTGGCCAGTAACTTTCCCATGTCAATAAACATACCCTCAAAATATCTGTCTGCTCTTGTACTATCTACAGGAACCCTTGCTTTCACCAACACATCCTTGCTAAGTAGGGAAACACTCAAAATATGTATTTTTTTTTTGCAGCCCACTTTAACATTACATAAAACTCATATTTTAGTTTACTACTAAAAAGAAATAATAGATTTTAGTTACCATTTGGAAAATTTGCAGTATAGACACAAAGTAGCTGCAAGGCAATTTGCATCAATGAATCATCCATTAACAGCCAGGGCCACAGAGAATGCATGACAGGGACTAGCTGAGCTGCAAGAGCTGCTTCCTGTGTGGACACGAAAGAACAACTGTCAGTCTAAGTACATAAAAATTCAAACTTAAATTCAAGGCACCCAAAATTGTCACCAACGTAAGACAAATGGTAAATTCATCTTTGTTCTGATTCCTATGAAGGGGCATCAGAGTACTACAGACAGATTCTTGTCTCTGGCCTCCATGGCTCTACATGTGGCTTCTCTGACCATAAGCCTGGCCAGTTTTAGAAAGTCTCTTCAGCACTGGGGTAGCTAGGATATGCCAATATGAGAAGAAAAACAGCTTCTAAAATGTGCAAATTACGCAGGAAAGTACTGCCTTCCAACAATGAATAAACTCTTGTAAAGGCTCTGACACAGGCAAGAAATGGTTAATGAACTGATTACCCCTCCCCACCCTGTCCCTTCTTTCTCCTTGGTGTGTGTGTTTATATACCAGAAGTAAATTACTATTTCTGAGTAACTTCAATATACCAGTATCTACTCTAAATATTAGGTTAAACAAACTCTTAGGTAATTCAGTCTTTATTATAAAATTCAGTTATCTCTAGCACAATATATAGGTAAAATATAGTTGAATGTATGTTTTTAAAATAAGAATGTATACACCCATGTACATGTGTGCATGCATACATAACTACATACATCTTGCACAATTATATGTAGTTAAGTAATAGAGTGGGAAATTATTCTCAATGTTCAACACTTTTTCTCCCAGAAAATGACCTTGCCTCTTTTTTCACAGAAAGACAGAAATGATTAGTTATGAATTCTTTATCTATTCTGCCACTCTCTTTATGTAGTTGATCTTCTGGAGGACCACCTTGATGGCTCTCCTTGAAAGAAGAGCATTTGAGGGCTGGGGATTTAGCTCAGTAACACAGCGCCCACCTGGCAAGCGCAAGGTCATGAGTTTGATTCCCGGCACCAGAAAAAAAAAAAAAAAAAAAAAAAAAAAAAAAAAAGAGCATTTGGCCCTTCGTCTGTGTATAGATACATACAGAGCTGGCTAGGATATTTTCCTTATCCCCTCTATTGGCTTTAAGCAACGCAAATGGGTCTAGTGGAAGTGCTTTGAAGCAATGGGACAGGTCAGTGATGCCCCGCCTACAGCTCCCAAGTAACACGTGTGAGCTAGGCCAAGTGAAGTCATGCTGTTGGCTGAGAATGAGCCTAAAAGAGGTCATGACTTCTCAGGGCATGGATTATACAATTTTTGGGGGGCGAGGGTGTCTTTTTGAGACAGGGTCTTGCTGTGCAGTTCAGGCTGGCCTTGAGCTCACTTTGTAGCCCAGGCTGGTCTCAAACTTACAATGATCCTCCTGCCTCAGCCTCCCAATGCTGGGACCATAGGCATGCCCCATCACACCCACCTACACATCAAAATTGAAGCACCAACCCCAAAACACTAGATATTGCACCAATCTGTGGTGTGCAGATTACTCTTTCTGCATCTCTCTCTCTCTCTCTCTGCATATTGCAGAGGTGATATTAGGCTTCCTACCACGTCCAGCTCACAGAACTCACGGACTTCCCACCATTCTTACAGTCATTCATCCCCAAGCCACTGCCGTCTTCACAAATTAATAAAACCCATGGTAGGCCCTATTTGAGGCCTTTGTTCCAGTTAGCCATTATTTTGACTAGTCTTAGGACCCCCTTGGCTCCTCAACACTACAAATATGCCTTAGTGTCTTTATTCTAGCCAGGCATTGCACTGCAAATGGTAGATTGGAATTAACTTATTAGAATTCCAATAACTTTCCCATGGGATTACAAATGTGGGCTTTCTATCCATCTGTATTTTCATCCATTCATCCTTATCTGCCTGGCAGTGAGGAACAGGTGCTCCTCTTGTCAGAGATTGATACGCTCATCTGTATTCCAAAATGTAGTCAGCCCCTCCTGCCTCCTCGAGGATCTGATCTATGAATTAGTTCTTTTCTTCCAGCATCTTTAATCACTAGTCCCCAGTTCAATCATTTTTCTATTTACATTTAAGTATTTTACATGTTAGGAGAATCAAACACTACCTTTGATGACTAAACTTGTAGAAAGAGTACTCATACTGCTATCATTTTTCCATTCCGCATTTCATCTTCAGCTCACTTGAACTTACTTTTCTACATTGATGGTTCCACTGAGACCATCCCCACTTTTGTAGCTGCCAAATCATTAGGTGCTTGAGCATTCTGGCAGGTCTTTTTAAAATTTTCATGTCCGTGTTGCCTAGATCACCTCTAAATTCCTTCTCTAGCATTCCATTCCCAGTCGTTTTCTGCCTTCTCTGTTGACATTTTCCAAAGATCTAGGATTTCACTATACATTATTGGGAAATTTCACTTACATGCATGGCTACAGACACTATCTACGTACTTTTAATATCACTAGCCTATATTGCTCCTCAAAGCCCCATACCACACTGAAAAATTACTGACTACAAGCTGTTTTCTACCTGGATGCCTGAAAGACACTTTACAGTAGCACATGCAAACCTATGGGTTATGTCAAGGCCACATTTTACTCTACCAAACCTTCTTGCAGTGATAAGCATCTTAAAGCCTGGAAGTCATTCTACATTTCTCTTCTTTCACCTTAGTCCCACATATTTATTCCTACCTTCATACTTCACCTTTCTACCTGCCCAGGTTAAGGTCTTGTCCTCTCTTACCTAGACTATCACAGTCCCTCACTGCTAACCCTGCCTATAGTTCAATTCATTTAACTCACAACCACCATGATCTTTTTTCATTTTTTCTGGTATGAAAAGTCCTTAATGTTATACACATATATAAACTAAGGTGTGATGGTAGTGGTGACCGGTGGTTTACCACAATATGAACCAGCAATAAGAATAGAAAACCATATATCTCAGGTAAGACAGGAGAGAAATTAAGAATCTCTGCCCCACTGAATAATATTTATACTCAACAGTAAATATTTTCTGGATTTATTCCCTATTTAAAAACTTAGAAATATAGAATAAAAGACTGGACTTTTATAGGGGGCCAAATGTGACCCAAGTGTGAACACTGTTTGTAACTAGTAGCCAAGTTAACATGTAATAAATGTTTACAGATTTATCCCACCCATCATGTGTTCCAGAGCTCTCCTTGAGTACAGTGTCACTGATGAACAGTAACCATATACAGTCACAAGGATAGTATTAAGCATGAAGGAACTATAAATTTAGTGAATGACATCTCTGTTTTGAGGGAAAAAAAATCCATACTAAGTGCACAGACTGGGAATTTTAAAGAAATATACAAATATTTAATTTCAATCAAACTGTTTTAAAATGTAAGTTGTTAGCTATGTCTTATAAGGATATATGTTCATATTTTCATTTTCCAGATACAATGCTTGTACCAGGTTAGCCACAATTATGTAAGAGTAAAAGCAGGTAAGAATTTAAAAGCAAAGTGGCCATAATTTATCTTTGCCTTGCACATTTTCCACAATGTGTCTATATGAAAGGTTTAATCCAGTGCTTTGAACGTAGTGTATCACTATAGCTGATGCAAATAAAAATGCTCAAAAGATTATATCTAAACAGTACTAATGCAATGGTTTAAAATGACACCATTGATGCTTACAGGTGAAGCAAAATGTCTCAATGGTTTTCAGACAGAGGGACCACATAAATGGTAACAGAGGTCATCGAAATTAGAAGTAAGGGACTTCCTCTAGATTTACATACCATGTTAGATAGGAGCAGTGTTTTCTATTCTGAAGCAGGAAATACTTTGATCTTCTTTCCTTATAGATATAGACACTATCACTTAATTCCTCTGAAGAACTGTTCTGATGAAGCCCTTATAAAAATCGACATTACCAGACACACAGAGCTATTCCTTCCATTCTAGTAAAGGAATCTCTTAACATGCATAACAGTACAGAATGAAGCTGAAGTCTATAAAGTCTAAGTTCCAAGGATAATGATAAAATACTGATATAAACAAAACCTGTAATCAGTATTGAGAAATAACAATGAGATTAGGTGCATCCATTTCTGAAAATTAACTGAGTTTAAGAACCAAAAATACAGGGGCTGGGGATTTAGCACAGCGGCAAAAGCGCCTGCCTGGCAAGCGCAAGGTCGTGAGTTCGGTTCCCGGTACTGGAGAAAAACCAAAAAAAAAAAAAAAAAAAAAAAAGAACCAAAAATACATCTTAACACAATAAAAAGGGCTTCTGTTTTTCCTTCTATAGTATCTCCTATAAAAATTAAACTGCTTCTTGCTGGATTTCATAAGGCACACCTTTACTCCCAGCACTCAGGAGACTGAGGCGGAAAGATCACAAGTTTAAAGTCAACCTAAACTGCATATCAAATCCAAGGCCTGCCTGAACTACACAGTGAGACCGTGTCTCAAAATAAACAAACCAAGCTAGCATTTTTAAATGTAAACTGTTTAACACTGCTACCAAAATTGTGAGAAGGTACTCTACTTACTTTACATTCTTCATTTTGGTAAAGACAGTTTCTTAGGAGCTGCATAGTGATGCTTAACTCTTTAGTAAAACCATCCTCCTGTTTAAACAAAAAGATGTTGAAAAATGTGAACATAGCCTCTCACCCCACTTTTTGTACACAGTAATTCTCTCCCTTTGTGTCACAATACAATGCAGCTGTGCAGACCACCATAACTTTAAGCAGACTGACAAGCTAACAATCTCTGACAGATGACCATATCTCAAGAAGTGCATGCACTACAAAAAAACTATTTCTGTTCAATCAAGTATAGAGGAACTAGGATATATAACAGCCTCTGTTTCATCTCAATAAAGTGAGGCATATACTGACTAGTTTTCAATCATATCAGCTGTTGGCTGACTTTCTCAATGATAAAGTAGGGCTTTTGGCTAGAGAGGAAAGAGGAAAAGAGGCAAAAAAAGAAACCGACAAATATCAGCAATCCTCTGCATCAATTATATTATTAAATACAGCTTTGTCTTGTTTTCTCACTAGGTATTAATGTTTGTTTAGTGGCTTTATACAAACATACACACACAAAGAGATGTTTGCACATTCATACACATGCTTAATGTTATACACATATATAAACTAAGGTGTGATGGGGCAAGTCTTACTTATTTCTGAATAAGTCTGTGGGGCAAGTCTTACTTATTATAATTACTAACCATAGCTATTATATAATAAATTATTTTGTGTTTACAAGAACATACAGTTTAAACATGAGTCAAGTAGACTACCTACTAGAAGAGACATTCAAGAGTCATGGAAGGAGATAAATAGATTAAGGATATCAGTTCTGCCGCTCCAAGCCATAGGGGCAAAAATCTGACTTTATCATCTGCCATTTACGTGACTATGATGTCATCAGTGTACAAAACATAAGAAATATGAAATGCTTGAATAGTACATGACACGTAAATTATAGCATATGGATCTCATTTCCTAGAAAACTTCTGTTTGCTTTATGAGAATTTTTTTCGGTAGGATAAAAAATTTACTGATATGGTACAGTATTACATGCATGTAAATCTCCAAATGCTTACAGTAACAGAAACAAAACCATATAATATATAAATCCCATGCAAAGACTTCCAAGTGAGAGTTAAGAAAAAGCTATCCAATAACCTGGTGACACACAAATCTCAATAATTTATTTGACTGCCTTTCTTCTAAAGCAGACACTCCTTTCAACCTTGTACTCATTTATAGGCCCTGCGGCACTGCAGAAACATCATTCCTTTATTTCAGAAATTTAGAATTTAAAGTTACCTTCTTTTTCAGTGCTGCCTTCCCAGGCCTTAGAGAATCGAGGTTCAGTTGTGCGTTGATGTATTTCATCTGTTCCATACAGCTGTCTATGAGGTCGGCTGAAAGATAAAATCTCTAAAGTCAAAAAGATACTCCATTTCCTTAAGTGAAAAACCACATATAATGTGATTGTCAAAAAAGTTTATATATATGGCCCAAATCATTTTTAGCATTTTCTGTAAGATGAACAGATCAGAGGGCAGAAGACAGTAAGACAACTAAAATGCTTAAGTCTGGCTGTTTGGAGTTCTTAGTAAGATATTCCCTCAATACTGTATAATTTATATTTTGAAATTTGCATAATTTTAAGAGTAAATCACAATTGAAATTAAAGACTTTATGTTGCTGTTATTCTCTTTCAACTCTCTGACATTCAGATGAAAAAATACAATACTTCAGAGGGGATATTTATATAAAAATACAGGATTATCTGACGCTAAATCATTTTTACCATCAAAGCTATGGTTTTCGGGGGGGTGGTTAGGTATGCAGGATGTGCTTGTGGACACACACTATTTTATTATGAAACTGAGTAATGTATTACTTTTTTATTTCTCTAATATTTAGATATACATTCTCCAGAGTAAGAATCATTACACACTGTCTATGGCCACACCACCCTAAACATGCCTGATCTCATCTCATCTTGGAAGCTAAGCAGGGTCGGGCCTGCTTAGTACTTGGAAGGGAGCATCATTACACATTAAATAAAAAATAATCTATAGAATCATTTATTTGAAAAGTAATGAATATTTACTATTTTTCCATAAAACAATCATGTTTCTTCACTGAAATTAAACTGTAACTGTATTTCGAGTCCCAAAAAAATTAAAATGAACAAGCAGCAAAATACATATGCCATATGAACAGCTGATATGTCATATAGATCACCTTTCAACGCATGGTTCTGTGCTCTTCTGCTGACAGCCAGAAGGGAGATTAATGCATTTGCAGCAACTTTCTTCAGGATATCTTTGGAGGATTTCCCTTCATAGCACTGTAAAGAACACAGATCAAATTGCCTTAAAGTAAAATCTAACCTGGCAGAAAACTGTTGCGAATAAAAGTTCTACCTAAAATGTATTGATAAGTTCAAACATTAGAACTTAATAAATCATTAATATTTGAAAATGCTGTGTGGATAAGGCTGCAAATGAAATTTATATTATGGAAAAGACCAACAACCACTCTCAAAGACTTATTACCTACAGAAAAAAAATTATTTAGTACTAAGACATAAGAAGTTAGTATTACTCAAACTTCACAGGTGTGTTGTTATGAATTACTAAACAATAGGCCCGCCTTCATAGGCAGGTAAGGTAAAGCAGGTAAGGTAAATCTCACAAATTCTTCTGGCATGGAGCTTTTCCTAAGTACACTATTATAAGATAGTTCATTGCACTGCAAGCCATGATCATGAGTCTGATCATGGATTCCCAGAAACATGGTACCACTTAACAGCAGAAAAGAGTTGCAAAATAAAATATCCCTGGTTTGAACTACAAACACACTCAGCCATCTTATCTTTGACAAAGGAGTCAAACACATTCACTGGAAGAAAGGCAGCCTCTTTAATAAATGGTGCTGGAAAGCTGTCTTTCCACATACTGAAGACTAAAGCTAGACCCAAGTCCAGAAATACTATGCACTAAACTAAAATCAAAATGGATCAAAGATCTAAATATTAAAACAGGAACACTAAATCTGCTGGAAGTGAAAATAGGTAGAACTCTTGAAAACATAGGTGTAGAAGAGAGATCATGAATAAATGATCGCACAGAAAATACTACAAAGCAGTAGTTGAACTGGGATCTCATCCTATTAAAAAGCTTTTGCACATCAAAAGAAATCACCAACAGAATGAAAAGACAACCCACAGAGTGGAAAAAATTTTTAGGAAGTTGCTCCTCAAAGGACTATATTCAGAACATATAAAGAAACTGAAAAAAATCAGATCCCTTAAATTTAAAGACCCAATCCCAAAACGGGCATCTAAGATGAATACACACTTCTCAGATGAAGAAGTACAAATGGAAAATAAATATATGAAAAAATGTTCAACATCACCGATTATTCGAGAGATGCAAATTAAATCACTGACTCCAGAAAGGTGGCTATTATGAAAAAAAGATCAACAAATAACAACTGCTGGCCGGGGAAAGGGAACAATTCTTCACTGTTAGTGGGACTGCACACTGGTGCAACCACTGTGGAAATCAGTGTGGGAATTCCCCAAAAAACTAGGACTCCAGGTCCCATTTGACCCAGCTATTCCCCTTCTGGGTATTTTCCCAGAAGAATTAAAAACATCACAACACAGCAATAAATGCACACCCATGTTTATAGAGGCACAATTTGTAATAGCTTAATCTTAGGACTCAAAAACCCATCAACTGATGAATGGACAAAAAAAAGTGTTGTTTTTCAATATATAATGGAGTACTACTCTGCCCTAAAGAAGGATAAACTTGAGACATTTACTGCTAAATGGATGGATCTTGAGACCAAAAGTGATAAATTGGACACATGTATAAATATTGCATTGTTTCACTAGTGTGAGAAATTGAATGTGTAAATAAAAACCAAATTGTATAAGACATATAGTGAAATGGGAAGAAATTGTTCAAAAGGAAAAGGGATATACATATGTATGTGTATATATATATATATATATGTATATATATACATATATATATAATATCCCTGGTATGGTCTGTCTGGGAGTCTTTAAATCTCACCAGTTCCAGCACGACTGGCTACAGAAACCAGTCAGCCACGAGAAGCTGGGTTTCCAGAGTTATTTGGTGTTGTAGCCTGGGCAGCAGAGGGAGAGGCCAGGCATACCGTTCTCACAGCACGCTTCTGTGAGGGAAGCCATTTACCTTACAGCAGAAGAAAGCATGTCAACAAAAGCAAGGGTCTTTGTATGGGAAAAAGCTCTCTGTGAAACCCAAAGCTAGAAAATTAATAATTAGGCTGGATCGTGGTGGCGGGTGTATGTATGTGTGGAAAGGTGTCATAGTACCTTTAAAATGCAGTCAGCGAACTCATTTAAATCACTGTTGTTCTGATAAGCAATGAGACAACTGGGACAATGTTCACTTTTTGTTTTCCATTAAGAAAAGCTGAGTGTGGCGAGAATGAAGCTGTACAACAGGGAAGCTCTGGCTCCTGAGAATAAGTGGCTTTTAGAAGAACATTTTAAGGACTCTTCTCTAGAGACTCAGGCTTTGCAAGGAACTGCTGGAGGCAGATGAGACAATACAGGCAGACTCCTGAAGGGGCGCTTACCCATGTTGGAGAGACAACTGGATTTTGTGGGGTGGGAAAACAAACTCCGCTGAGGAGCCCTGAGATGTCCTTTGTAGGACAGCTTCCAGCTGGACCAGGCACGTGTCCTTCCTCTCTCTCTACCAGCCTTAACGGTACCCCAATATAATCAAGGCTGGTGCCTAAAATGTGCAAGTAGTTATGCCAAAAATATCTTCATAACCATGACTTTCACAGGCCAAAAAGAAGCAAAAATCTCTAATTTCAAAGCACCAAAGAGACTATCACAAATAGGCAGATAGAGCAATCTTTGTAAAATGCACCTAGCTGACTGGGACGCTGAAGCAAATCCCTCAAAGACAAATTCTACCACTTTCTGTCAGGAGAAGAGCAAAATCATAAAACCGCATAATTATTAAAAAGTATTCTTAATATCTAAAAAGTCTTGTAATATTGTTATTTGTAAAAAAAAAGATGTGAAACTTTAACTTAGGATATACTTCTAACCCTTTTTTAATTGCTAATCAGTCTAAGGCCATACCACCCTGAATGTGCCCGATCTCGTCTAATCTATTTATACTTTTATACTGTTTAAGTAGTCATGAATGACTATTAATTATTCCTTTAATTCAAATGACTGAAAACATTTTAACAAGACTGAGAATGAAAGTCAATTTATTTTAAACACTAAATAAAGTTTAGGAAAACCAAGAAATTATATACCTGAAGAATTACTTCATTAAGTTGTTCTGATGATTTCTGATTGTCCTGGATTTCATCAAGAAGCAAACCCATTGTTGGACTATGGCTTAAACAAATTCTGTTCTTGTCCTGGAGATGCATTTTCGCTTCCTCAGTCAGAAGAAGAGCCAGGAACTGCAGACTGGCAATGTACAGAGCAGGACACCTGGCCGATAAGCCCACACATTTGCAGAGCATATCTAAAAGGAAGAAAGGTTCCCATATGAAAGTCTGAAAATTTCTTCATGATTAAAGGGAAAATGAATCAGACTGATCTGAGCGGTTAAGTTTACAGTTTCCTTAACTACTAAGATAAAGTTATCAATAGCTTAAGCACAACAAGAATAACTCTGCTGTTAAAGTCAAACAATACTATGACAATATGCTAAATTAGTGATTTTGTTCAATTTTCATTATATGGTTTTGTCTTTCTATGAAATTGTAGGTATTTGTGTGTGTGTCTACAAATGCACATATATACAATATCTGCTAAGACCTTAAGAGTAATATACATAGATAAGTATTGATCCTTTGAGCTCTACTGAATATATGAAGTCTTGAAAATTTTTACCTTTTTAATTTTGATTCCAGTACAAAGTTAAAAAAAGTCAGATAATTGCTGGGGATGTGGCTTAATTGTAAAACACTTGCCTAGTATGTGTGCAGCCCTGGGTTTGATCCTTAGCAAGGCAAAAATAAAGATAGGGCATGATGGCACACACTTGTAATCCCAGCACTTTGGGAGGCTGAGGTAAGGGGACTGAAAGTTTGAATCCTGCCTGGGCATCTTAGCAATAGCCTATCCAGCAGGCAGGGGTGCTGGGGACGTAGCTCAGTACATCAGTACAGAGGCCTGGGTTTGATCTCCAAATCTTCAGTACTGAAAAAAAAAGAAAGAGAGAAAAAGAGAGAGGGGGGGAGAAGGGGAGGGGAAGGGAGCGGAGGGTAGAGGAGGGGAGGCAAGGGCAAGGAAGAGGAAGGGAAAGTGAAAGGGGGAAGGGGAGGTTAAAAGAGAAAAGGGAAAACAAAACAAAATGGTTCACCTAACTATCCTATGGATCATACAGAATATCACCTTGTTAAGTATGAATGCATTTTCTGCTTTCAAAAAAGGCAGTATCAAATAATACCTTAAAAAGCAAGACTTGGTGTGCAGTGTTGGCGTGCTGAACAAAGGGCTCACAGTACTGCATAAAGAACATGAGTGGTTATAAACTGACTTGGAAACAGTACAGGGCAAAAAGAACAGGCAAGCCACACTATGCTCAATTCTGAGCCAGTCATCAATAGTTTCATATGAATAAGGATTTAGTTTAATCAAAATAACATTGTTATTGCATTAATCTTACTAATTTATAAAATATTTGATTTATATTTTTGTCTGTTTTATTATTTTGTATTTATGCTTGTGTGAAATTATAACCATATAGATTTAAGCTTATAGAAATTTCAGTGACATAAAGAAAATAATGCAGCTAGCAGTATGCTTTATAAAAATTATATTCATGTAAATGATGTCCAACTGGGGGCTGGGGATTTAGCTCAACGGCACAGTGCCTGCCTGGCAAGCGCAAGGTTGTAAGTTCGATTCCCAGTACTGGAAAAAAAAAAAAAAATAACATTCAACTATTAATCAAGTCTGAGGAAAGACTGTTTTGGTAACTAACTCATAGAATGACCATAACATGCACTAAATGTATATGGGTGCACAGGGTAGAAATTGACTAAAACAAAATTATACAAAAAAATGCCATCATGGCAAGGAACATTAAAGATCACTTTTATTAGGTATGTTTTCATTAACATCATCATTATCAAAACTACATACTGTTATTTTTATTAGTACTATAAACTGTATGTTTATTTTATGGGAGGTTTTGAATTTAATGTTTTCATTGTGTCAGCAGAGAAATCACACCAAATAACCATAAGTGAGGAGTTGCAAAATTTTTCTGTTAAGGACCAATAGTAACTATTTTATGTTTTGTCATTCACTGCTCTTGTTACGACTGCTCATCATAACTATTAAAGCACGAAAGCAGACAAAGGCAACACATGAGTGTGGCTGTGTTCCAATAAAACTATTCACCAAACTCGGTAGTGCGAAAGACTTAGCCAGATAGCTTTGGGATCTAATGTGAGAAGCATTTTGCTTTATATTGTTGGTGATTCAGGTGGTGAACTAATTTTCTTCCAAGTAATGCAAGAGGAAAAACTCAATCTCTCAATAAGGCAATCTCTATCTCCATCTCTTTTAACAAAATAATCATCTACAATATGGCCGCGTTACCCCTTACGTTAGACTCAACTCCTGTATCTAAATAATTTTATTTCTTATTGAATATATATTTCCCCATAAGTATTCTTCATATTTTAAAACTATCATACTATATCATACATTTAAATTTTCAAAATGACCAAATTACAAAATTGAAGTTAAAAATTCAGCCAATTTAATTAGTTGATAACATGGAAACTTAGAAATCAACTTTGAATTTATTTACATAAATTATTTTATTTTATT